CGGGCCTGCGATGTCGAGGCCTGGCAGGGAAGGGCAGGAGATGAAAAGAGTTGGAAAGGAGTGTGGTTGGGCAGGAAACAACTGAGCAGGAATAGAGATAAATGGCAGGGGCAACCGGACAAGGATGGGTGGGGATGAGCAGAGACAGAGAGATGAGGTCCGGTGGCATTGGACAGGGACTGTATGGCGCCACCCTCCCTCTCTTGCCCACAGCCTCCCTGACCTGTTTTTCCCCACCACAGGTTCTGGTTTCGTCTCTACTGGTTCCCACTCAAGGTCCTGTATGCCACATGCCACTGCAGCCTGCGCTCTGTGCCTGACATTCCCTTCTACTTCTTCTTCAACACACTCCTGCTGCTTCTCACTGTCATGAACCTTTACTGGTTCCTGGTGAGTCAGTCTCCTACAACTACTCACCCACCTGCTTCCTCAGCCGGCAGTCCTATTCTCTTTCCTGGCTAGTGGTCCAGGTGCAGGCCCTTCTCAGGCATATCCAGGGAGGGGCATGTTAGGCAATAGGAACAGCACATGCAAAGGGCCTGTGGCAGGAGCGCATGGCCATTAGGAGGGCAGCATGGTCAGGGAAGGCTCTTTTCTCACCTGTGCCTTCCCCTCCCACAGTACATCGTGGCTTTTGCCGCCAAGGTGCTGACGGGCCAGGTTCGCGAGCTGAAGGATGTACGGGAATACGATGCAGCAGAGGCCCCGAGCCCCAAGCCCAGCAAAGCTGAGTGAGTGTGGAGGGGCTGCTGCCCCGGGTTCGTTCCTTTAGTCACACCTGTCAGTCTGAGCGCGCACTATGGGCAGGCCCTGGAGACACAGCAGCGGATGAGGCCGTAGCAGACGCTGCCCCTGGAGCCTTCGTCCAACACAGAGACTGCAGTAAAGGCATGGATGGTGTAGTGGTGGAGTTAGATGCTATAAGGATAGATACTGAGGAGGTGAAAGGGAGCTTGGGATTGGGCAGAGTGATGAGGGGCAAGAATCAGGGTGTCGTCAATGGAGCAGTGAGGGCCAAGCCAATTGGCTGGTGTGGTCGGGGTGGCTGGAGCAGGCAAGTGAGGGCCCTGTCGGTGGTGAGGAGCAGCCATTGGTCAGGGAGTGGAGATGGGAAGGAGGGGGTGCCACAGGCAGCTTAGAGAGCCCATGATCTGCCCATGTTGATGCTCCCCGGCCCCCTGACTACCCAAGCAGGAGATGGGGCTGGGACCTGGGGGCTCAGACACAGTCTGGCCCAGGTGGGAGTCCTAGGGAAGGAGAAAAAAAGAGGCCTGGTAAAGCATCCTGGAGCAGGGCCTCCAGGACTTCTCAGTCCTGGGATGTGAGCCCCTTGCCTACAAGGGCCCCAGGAGTGAACAGAGGAAGGTTTGAGTGACAAGCAGGGTCCAGGGTGTGCAGTGCCCTGGAGGGAACTTGAGGGGTGTTTGAGCAGGTGGGAAATCAGGGTGCTGACCACAGGGACCTCCAGTTTAGCCTCTGGGGGGGTCATCAGTGACCAACCTAGGAATGGTGGTTGTGGGGAAGCAGAGGGCTCACAGCTCAATGAGGTGGGTCAAGATGGGTGACAAGGAGGATGAGAGAGGCAGAGATTTTTAAAATCTATGTGAAAGACAAGAGATGAGATGCAGAAAACTGGGGCATTGCCAGGACAGAGCGTGGGATCAAGGGAGGACTCTCCAGGCCAGTTCAAATAAAGAGAAGCACTTTGCACCCACCAACATGGGACTATAGGCGGGGTGCACCTAGGCCAGAAAGCCAGAGCCCAGGGTAGGGTGGGACCAGACAGGTGAATGAAGATCATGAACATAGGGCTGGGCAGCAAGTGAGGTGTCCCAGTGGTCGGATCCCAGCTCTGTTGTAGAACTGACAAGACTTGCTTTGGATGTTGGTAAAATTGAAATAAAAGAATCGAAGATGACCCAACTTCTGGCTCAAGCTGCCGTTTACCAAAATGGGAGTCAGGCAGAGTTCTGTGTGCCAGTGGGGGTAAGGGGTAGGCATCTGCTTTGGGGGGTGTTTGATTATTGATGTCCAGGGATCATGAGTCGAGAATTCTGCTGAGAGGTGAGTCAAGTCTCAGCAAGGAGTGTGACTGACCCTCAGAGGCGTCCAGAAACAGCAGTGGCTAAGAGAACTCCAGAGGCAGAGGAGGAGAGGCACCTGCTTGGCCAAATCTAAAAATCTGAAAGGTTTTCCTGCTGTAGAACAGTAAACTTCTGGTGGAGTCCTTGTAAATGCAAAGCCAAGATCATACCCCCAGCGCTGCCTGGTGCTGCTCCCTGCTCTGTCTCTCTCAGAGAATGTCCAACCAGAATGTGGGTTGAGGGCCTGGTACTTGCTAGCATTCCCACTAGGATGGCAGCGTGTGAACTCCACAGGATATGACAGGGCATTACAGGGGACACACTGCCATGATCAACCCCATGGGCACCACCAACAGAACTCGATTCCCCAAGGATGGCTAAAGTTAGCACAGTTGGGTATAAAGATGGGGTAGTCAGGATGCCTCAAAATCATCAGGTCGTGAAAAACAAGGAGACTGCAGACCTGTCCCAAATCAGAGGACTGAATGCAATGTGGGATCCTGGACCAGAAAAAGGACAGCCATGGAAAAACTGGGAAATCCAAATAAAGTCTGCAGTTTAGTTCATAGCATTGTCCCAGCATTGGTTGCTTAGGGTGACAAATGTACTGTGGAGAGTAAGACATTAACATTTGGGAAGCTGGTCAGAGCTACACTGGAGTTCTCTGTACTATCTTTGCAATGTTTCTGCAATTCTAAAATAAAAAATTTATATAAAAAATAAAAGGCATGAGTGACCATCAAAAACAGCATTGGATGTTATATTACTTCGCTGGGGCTGCTGTAACCAAGTACCACAGACTGGGTGACTTAAAACAACAGACATTTATTCTCTCTCAGTTCTGGAAGCTGAACGTCTGAAATCAAGTTGTCAGCAGGGCCACGCTCTCTCTGAAGGCTCTAGGGGAGGATCCTTCCTGTCTCTTCCAGTTTCTGGGGCTCCAGGTGTTCCTTGGCTTGTGGCTACATCACTCCGATCTCTGCCTCTTTCTTCACATGGCCTTCTCTTTTCTCTGGCTTTTCTGTCTTAAATTCCTTCATTTAATTACGTCTGCAAAGACTCTTTCCAAATGAAGTCACATTCATAGGTTCCAGAGATTAGGATGTGGACCTCTCTTTTCAGGGACCACCATTCAATCTACTAAACCTGTTAAGGCTCACACGATTAGACAACTGAAGAGAAAATCAGTAAATTAAAAGCTGTGAAGAAATGACCCAGAATGCAGCAAAAACAGATGGCAACTATAGCAGCTAGAATTTTAAGAATGACCTGTTCTAGCTGAATTCTAATGGGAGTCAGGTGGGGAGAGACAATATGAGAAGACATAATGCTAAGAATTTTCCAGAAAGTGGCAAGATATCAATCATAAGCAGGATGAATGAAAAGGCATCCATGCCCCAAACATATCATACTGAAAATGTGAAACAGCCACAGAAAACAAGAGATGACCTACGAAACAATGACAGATAAACAAGGGATGCTAGATGACCACGGAGTAAAGTATCACCTCAAGTGCTAAAATGAAGTAACAAGCAACCAGGAATTTCGTACACAATTTTAAAAATAATTATTCAAGCTCTGGACAGTGTGGGTCAGTGGTTAGAGCGTCAGCCCACACACCAAATGGTCATGGGTTCAATTTCCGGTCAAGGGTACATACCTGGGTTGCAGGTCGATTCCAAGGTCGGGGTGTGTGTGGGAGGTTGCCAGTCCATGTGTCTCTCACATTGATGTTTCTCTCTCTTTCCTCCCCCCGCCTCCCTTCCATCCTCTCTAAAAATCAATGGAAAAAATTACCCTCGCGTGAGGATTAACAACAAAAACACACATACAAAAAAAGTTACTCAAGAGGCAGAAACAAACACTAAGAAAGTTATATTTCAGAAAACAGGAAAGCTTTATCAAGAAGCAGATCAGTCCGGCCGGTGTGGCTCAGTGGTTGAATGTGGCCCCCATGAGCCAGGAGATCACAGTTCGGTTCCCAGTCAGGGCACTTGCCCAGGTTGTGGGCTCGAGCCCCAGTAGGGGGCGTGTAGGAGGCAGCCGATCCATAATTCTCTCATGGATGTTTCTCTTTCTCTCTCCCTCTCCCTTGCCCTCTCCCTTCCTCTTTCTGAAATCAGTAAAAGCATATTTTTTTTTAAAAAAAGGAAGCCAATCAGCAGAGAAACTGATACATATCTGGGTAAACATTTTAAATCTCTAACTTGAGAGATATAAAATAATTAGAACTAACATATTAAATATCAAAACAGGATTTTGCAAGAGGGTGGGGATTACCTTTTAGGCTGTATTATTAGGTACTTGTGTTAACACTATCAGAGTTAACAAAAAACAGGTACAAAATAAATGCAAAAAGGAAGGTTAGACAAGGCAGCATAAATAATGCAAAATAAGAGGGTAGAATCTCAAATATTAGGCATTCAAATAAACATACATCATGACAGTTAAGAGACTGGCTTTTTAAAAAAAATATATACCTTTATAGTATTAAAAATTAAAAGACTTCAACTCCAGGGTACATAGGACAGGAAGAGACATTCAAGTGTAATTCTTGATCTGGAATGTGCCACATGACGCAGTCCTGAACCTCGGAGTGATGGGACCGCAAGAGGTACAGTTTATACTTTGTGCTCCTCACCCAGCAACTCAGACGCAGGGTGAACGATGTTCTTTTTAAAATCAGGAACATTTCTCAGAATTGATCGTAGCAAGCCACAGGGGTAACCTCAATTGCTCAGAACCAGATCACACGGACCATATAGACAAAAATTCAGTTAGGTTTGAAAACAGTAAGAAAAAGACAACTGAGAACCACTTTGAAGTAATTCAGGAGAAACAAAGGCTATGGCAATTAAGTAGCACCGACCCCTTCCTCTCCCAGCCCTGTCTTCACTCCTCCTTCCTCCCTCTGTTCTCTTTCCTGATTTATCCCCACAACTGGGCCACACTGGGCGTCTGGTAGACCATCCTCCTGGACTGACTCAGCCCCCTTGCCCTGGTCAGACCTGGCACCTTGATCTGAAGGGCATCATCCTCAGGGGTTGCGGGGACTGCCATCCACCAAGGGGCCCTCTCCCCATTCTGAGCCCGCAACCAACCCAATGATACCTGACTGCTTTGTACATCCAGTTTTCCAACACTGCCCCTGCTGTGTCTAATGAGCTGTGACCCACATGTCTGGCTCATGCTGAAGCACCAGCATGGGCCAGAGGGTCCTCGGTGATGCCTGCACAGTGGCAGCATTCCTGCTCTTCCTTGATTCTCCCTTCTCAATCGTCAACTGCCGTCTCCATCGTCCCCGTGGCTGACAACATGGCCTCTGTGTCCTCAGGAAAACAGTAGTGGCTGATGAGACATCCACCCTCGCACTGGTCGGCTGCTTCAGTGGATGGTCCACCTCCCTCCAAGGCCACCGTCCAGGGCCAGGGACATCCAGCTTTTTTCCTGTTCAGGATATTCCGATCAGAGAGATATAGCCTCTTTCTCTATCCTTCCTTCACCAGCCTGGCCCACTTCTTTCCCTCCCTTGCAGCAGAATCCCTCCATTCTCGAACCCACCCCACTCTGGGGTCCTCCACCCACTACTCCCTGGGACCACTCCTGTCCGCTCTACCAAGGCCTTCTTGGTGCTAAACCTGGGGTCACCTCCCCTTCTTCTTTTTTTTTTTTTTTTTAAGTTTTATTGAGACAATTCACATACCATACAATTCACCCATTTACCCTGTATAATTAAATGTTTTTAGTCCATTCACAGAGTTGTGCAACCATTACTACAGTTTTAGAACATTTTCATTACCCTCAAAAGAAACCTCACACCCAGCCCAGTACCCCCTTAAGCATCCATCAGTCTGCTCTGCACTTTTAAAAAATTTTTTTTTCTGAGTTTATCTGAGCCAAACTGAAGACATATGCAGGGAAGCAAGATCTCAGATGCGCCACTGCTCCCCACTTCCTGACATCCTTCACTCCACCTCTTGGTACTTCCTGCTTGGTCTCTGGCCTCCCCACCAGCTGCTTCTCCCCTGGGGCCCTTTCATGTAATCCACCCCAACTTCAGGTTTCTCTGCCACCTTCAAGTGCTCCTCTGAGCACCATTCTGTCTCCGGCGTCTGCTTAACATTCTAAGCAAAATGTCATTCTTCCTAAATATCCCAAATCGGCCTGGCCGGCTGTGGCTCAGCGGTTGAGCGTCAACCTAGGATCCAGGCGATCGGGGTTCGATTCCCGGTCAGGGCACATGCCCGGGTTGCAGGCTTGATCAATGACTCTGTCATCATTGATGTTTCTATCTCTCTCTCCTTCTCCTTTCCTCTCTCTGAAATCAATAAAGATATATTTAAAATATCACAAATCGACCCCATCTCCACTACCTCTCCTGAATATATGTCCATCAGAGTTTACGGCAATTCCGAATGAAGACCTTGGGAAGCCCCCGCGCTCCCCTTCTCCTTATTCTCCAGCAAACATCCAGATTCCATCTGAGTTACTGGCTGTCATCTCCCACCGCCTTCCTCCCTCGCCTGATTCTCTTGCCCACAGTGCTGCACTGAAACTGAAAAGTGTAACTCTGTTATCTAGAGAAGCCAACAACCCCTCCCTTCCGAAAAAATACTACCACTGTTTATGAAGGAGGAGGGGCACTTGGAAACTTGTGCATAAAACGATCCAGAATCACCAGGAAAGTCCTGATAAAAAGGCATGGGGCAGTGGTACCGATCCCTAAAGTTGTTAAACTTAGTATAAAAGAACAGGAATTAAAACTGTGTGGGAGCACAGCCCAGTCATCACACTTGAGCAAATAATAAAGGTCATGGGAAGGAAGGAAGGACTGTTAGAGAACATGGTGGGACACTTGGAGACCATCTGGAGATTATCTTGCATCCGCTCCCAGGGCAAACTCCGATGGGTCAAAGATGTTGACGCAGAAGTGAAAACCGAACTCCAACCAGAGCCAGAAATGGGACACTGTCGTCTGGCAATTAAACTATGTATGAGAAGAGTCCAGAAGCCAGGAACCTCACTCTGCTTGTCTAAAGGACTGACAGACAAAGCCAGAGGACAATGGACACGTGGAGATCTGTGTAGGGCTCATCTATAACCTCACAGATAAAGGGCGCCTACTGGTTCGGCGAGAGAAAGAGCAGTGAGCCACAGGAAAAGCAGTGAGGATAGGATTAGTGCCCCCAGGAAGGGACAGCCAGCGGCTCGAGCCCAAGGGAAGGACAAATTAAAGTGACCTAAACCATCTTCTCCAGGAAAGTCTATGTTCTTATGTGAAAGAGTGTCTGCTAGTGTCTTTAAGGTCACACCCCAGGAGTGGCTAGGGCCAACTGTGGGTTTTCTACCCTTCCTGATGTCTAGATCATGAGAATGTATCACTAGCTAAAAAAACTTAATACATTTGTGTGTAAACTACACTGTAGAACCCAGTTCTACAGCGACCAGGAGACCGAGTGCAGAGGCATAAAGAGTTCCTGTAAGAGGGAACAGGAGTGGCCAATGGCCATGACATTAGGCTGCAGAAAGTTGCCATCTGGGCACCAGCTGGCTGGTTAAACAGGGTGCACTCTGAGCTTTGGCACAGGTGGTGAGGAGCAGGGACAGGAGCCCCTGTCAGGTCCATGCAGGTGGGCCTGGGCAGACCCCAGAGCACAGGCCTCCTCCCCATCAGAACCTCAGAAACTTGCAGGGAAAGTGGAATTAATGGAGAGGAGCAGTGGGCACAGGAGAGATCTAAAAGTGTCACATTTTTGGAAAATTGAAGACATCTTTATAGAAGTTTGAAATACGCAAACCACTCACATTGTTTAGAAGTTAGGGGCCTTTCTCTGGGCTTACGCTGGACACTTAGCATATTGATTTGAGTTTTAAAATATCATGTAATTTGTTTTAGAAACATGGAATGAAACTAAGGGCTGCAGCAGTATAGACAGACGGTGGATGGAGAATGACAGGGCAGGGAAGCCTGTCCTGGTGGGGCGGGGGCCACTGGAGCAGGCAAGCCTGCCCTGGAGGGTGGCAGGGGCCTCTGGCCAGTTCTGCATTTTTGGGAGGGGAGGAGAATGAAGTGCAGGGTTGATCCAGCTTGAGGCGGTGGGATTATGTCAGGCAGAGGTGGGTAGGTGGCATTTGCTCTCCAGTGGCCTCCAGAGGCCCAGGGTGGGAAGGAAAGGGGGAGGGGAGGAGAGGGTTTAATTGCGGGGAGAAGCTGGACAAAGAGCTAGGCTGGGTAAAGGAGTGTGGACCGCAAGGAGGGAGGGACAGGGACTAGGCGGGGGCATGGGGTCCCTAGGTTAACCCGGCTGGGGTTTTGGCCCCCAGGAAACCGCTGAGGAACGGTTTGGTGAAGGACAAGCTCTTCTGAACCCTTCGACCCCCGCCCCGCCCCCCAGGACTGCGCTCCGCCCAACCTTGCCCCCTGGGACGGCTCCCTTGCTCCCCTCGACCTTGGCCCGGTCCAGCTCCACCCCTCCCGGGCCCTGGCCACTCCCTGGACCCCTGCCCCGCTCCCCTGAGAGCCTGCCCGGGATCCGTCCCTTCTAAGCTTCAGGACCGCAGCCACGCCCCCCCGGGACCCTGACCCCTCCCAGCTCCAGACCCCGGAGCACTCGTCCTGCCCTCGGCCTGTGAGAAAGATGCCACCGTTGCTCTGCCGTCCCGGCCACCGCGTTCTTCTCCTCCTCTTGGCCCTGCTGCTGCCCTCGCTGCCCCTGGCCTATGCCCCCGCGCCCCTGGGCCCCGCCGCCGCTCTGCTCCAAGCTCTCGGGCTGCGCGACGTGCCCTCGGGCGCACCCAAGCCCCGGTCAGTACCCCTCATCATGTGGCGCCTGTTTCGTCGCCGGGACCCCCAGGAGGCCAGGGTCAGCCTGCGATGGACGTCCTCAGGGGCCACTCTACGACCGTGCCACGTGGAGGAGCTGGGGGTCGCCGGAAATATCGTGCGCCACGTCCTGGACCGTGGTGAGTGGTGCCTGCCCTGGGGGCGTGGGTCTGGGAGGCCGAGACCCCCCTGGACACCCTAGCCCCCCACGAGCTTCCAGCGGTTTCGAGGGTCTCCACTCACTCAGTTCAGCCCATGAGCAACCTGAGCCCCTGTACTCCATCCCTCCTCCCCGTGGACACCTGCGGGGACCCGGGTGAGTAGCCACAAGGCCAGGCTGCCTTGAATCCGGCAAGGCCCCTTGCTTGCAGCTGAAGCCCTGCCCCCACTCTCCCTCACTCCCGCTGCTTCACACCATTCGAAGCCTTCCTGCAGATGACACCCCGCCCCAGCATCGCTTACCCAGGCGTTCACTCATCTCTGCCCCCTGCCTGTGTTCCTGACACCAGCAGGCCACCCTGCATTGGGCAGGTCTCTTCCTTGCAAGCAATACCCCGCCCACACTCCATCTCTCCCCCTCCTTCATACCATTTGACGCCAAGTAACAGATGGTGCGCCCTCAGCCCTAGGCACTCACCTCCCCCACCATGTCCCTATCCGAGACCCCCTCGCATGAAGGCAGGCACTGCGCAGGGACGCAGCGAGAACCGAGCCCTCTCCGGGCCTCCCTAGGTGCCCACGCCCGGATCCTGGAGCCCTTGGCCGCAGGGCAGTGCCCGAAGTGGATCGTCATCTTTGACCTGTCAGCTGTGGAACCCACCGAACTCCCGAGCCGAGCCCGCCTGGAGCTGCGCTTCGCGGCGGAGGAAGCAGCAGCGGGCACAGCTGGCGGCTGGGAGTTGAGCGTGGCTGGGGCGGCCGAGGGCGCGGGTGTGGGCCCGGTGCTGTTCCGCCAGGCGGTGGTCTCTCTGGGGACGCCAGTGCGTGCCGAGCTGCTGGGCACCACCTGGGCCCACAACGCCTCAGTACCACGCAGCCTCCGCCTAGTGCTGGCGCTGCGCCCCCGGGCCATTGGTACCTGCGCGCACCTGGCCGAGGCCTCGCTGTTGCTGGTGACTCTTGACCCGCGCCTGTGCCACCCCCTAGCCCGGCCTAGGCGAGAAGCTGAGCCCACGGTGGGCGGAGGCCCCAGGGGCTCGTGTCGTGCTCGGCGGCTCTACGTGAGCTTCCGCGAGGTGGGCTGGCACCGCTGGGTCATCGCGCCACGTGGCTTCCTGGCAAACTACTGCCAGGGCCAGTGCTCACTGCCCGCCATGCTGCCCGGGCCCGGGGGGCCACCCGCGCTCAACCACGCTGTGCTGCGCGCACTCATGCACTCGGCAGCCCCCGGCCCTGCCGGCCTGCCCTGCTGTGTACCTGCGCGCCTGTCACCTATCTCCGTACTCTTCTTCGACAACAGTGACAACGTGGTCCTGCGGCACTATGAGGACATGGTGGTGGACGAGTGTGGCTGCCGCTGACAGACCGGGCATAAGAGGGGGCACAATAAACACTGGGTGGTTTGAGCTGCATTATTTCTGTCTTGTCACCTGGGGCTGGGGGAGGACTGCTGCATCCATCTGGCTGGTGGGGGAAGGGCGGTTTTATAGTGGAGCCACTGGCCCTCTTAGAGCACCAAATCTAGGCAGTTCTCTACATGTAAGGGGACCCTGGAAGTCACCCCCCACCACCACATCACCCTCACAAGCACAGGAGCAAGGGGCAGAGGTGCTCCCTCCTTTCGGCTGCTGATCCAGCCCCTCTCAGCTTTGCCCTCCAGGTTGCAAGACCCCAGACCAAGTGCTCTCCCACCCCCTGCAGTTCATCCAGACACATGCAAGAGTTGTTTTTAACATTTTATTGGTGACAAAAAGAGCTTAAAACAAATTGACCAAAAATCAGAAGTGACACTGCCTTGGTACAGATGCTCCTTGATTTGGAAAACTCAAGAGTAACTGCTGCTAGAAGGTGAACAAAGCCAACAGCACAGAGCGAGGTAGAGCACTCCAAGGAAAGAACAGGGCAGCAGGAGGGCACACAGGGTCATAGCAGAAGCCTATCCAAGCGCAATGCCTCTAGGTGGTCTACCAAAAGCCTACAGCCATGGGATAAGAGGCCTTGCCAGAGGAAAGTGCCTGTGTGTCCCCGTCTCTCCGTGTACCAGATGGCAACTGGAGGCTTTGGGATAAGGGCCAGTGTCAGATGCACGGGGAAGGGATCTGGGGTCATGGTCACTAGGACCTGGGTAGGCAGGAAACAGTCAACTTGATGGTCACCAGGGAGACTAACACCTACCCCAAAGGTGGCCTTTCCCAACCACAAGAACTTCCACAGTGCAGATCCTGGTTGACGCCTGCATGTACCAGCTGAAGTGGCAAATTCCTCCAGGCGCCTTCAGCATAGAACCAACTTATCTCTGAAACTTCTTTTCCCAAATAAAGTAGAAACCACCCCAACTCATTGAAGCTATGCTCACAGGTAGAAGGGCTCCAAATTTGGAGTGGGGTAGAGATTAAGAGGGGCAAGGTGCTGGGCTTGTCTGATGGCCACAGGGACTGTGGGCACCTCCCTGGGGAAGGATCCTCTTAGCTGATGTCTTCCACCAAATCCTCGGGAAGGACCGTGGGGAAGAAACCACTGGGCAAGGAACAACCACCTTCCTGCCCTCGGGTCTCATGGCAGAACTAGCCGGGGGCCCCTTGGGGGACCAAGTCCGCTGCCTGTGAGAAGTGCCTTACTTCACGGAGTCCAGTGGAGCCCGTGGGCCCAGGTGACATTCCCTCACCACCCTGACACGCAGGGAGAAGCTGCTGGAAACTAAACTGAAAACAAAAATCTTCCTCTCCATGATCACGCCACAGGCGTTCACCCTAACCTTGTTGTGTGGCTCGTTTACACTTCGTTTCTGGAAGCTTCTTGCATCTCCCAGGTCCACCACTAAGATTTGAGAGACAAACTCAGGTATTTTTCAGTACTCCTTTGAAAGAATCTTTAAAAAACAAACAGAAAACCCCCAAACACCATTATTTTCTTTAAATGAAAACCCTTAGAACACAGGCAGCATGACTGCAAGGTCTAAGACTGTGGACAGAACATGCGCCTCGGAGGGACTCTCCGGGCACGGCTGCAAGGAGCCTGTTCAGCACAGAAACGTGAGTTGTTCCTGATAAAACGTAGTCCCCTTTCAATAAAAGAGAAAAAGAAAGAAAGAACAGAGGAAAGGGCTACTCTGAGATGAGGGTCTTCCTCCCTCCGCCTGGTCGCAGACCCAGGTGTAGACGCGGCGAGCTGGGCCTCCTTGGCGAGCTGGCTGCAGGGCTCTCGGGCTGGCCTGCCCCACCTCCGCTCTCCCTGTCTCCTCGCCGCGGTGCCAGCAGTGGGCGCTCACTATCTCGGGCTGCTCTCCCTCGGGTGCTCCTCTCCCTCTCCTGTTGCTCACAGTGGTGCTTCAGTTTTAGCAGTGGAAAACAGGTATCCATTTATTTTTATTTTTTATTACCCAGAATAAGATGCTGATGGACTAAGCCACATAGCTTAGCTCTTCTGCCGCCACCTACAGAGAGGGAGGAAGGGCTGTCAGAGAAGGTGGGAGCCCAGCCCTGCCTGGAAGGCAAGGGTCCTTTTCCCAGCTTTCACTTTGCACCTATGTTCTCACCTGTAAAATGGGACCTCAGGTGCTGGACAGCCCTCAGACCACTGACTCCCCAAAAGAGAGAGAAGGCAGCTGAGAGCTAAGGCTAGAGCCTGCGCTGTAACAGTAGCGCCCCTTCTCCCAGCAGCACCAGCACACAACTTTTCTTGGCACACAGACAGATGGGAACCGCAAGGCAGGACTCACAGGCACCTCTTGTAGAAGTTCCCTATGTACCTAGTGCCAGGACCCATAATCCTCACGAGCTGCCAGTCAGGGCAAGGGATATGTCCTCCTCCCTGCCTGCCCAGGGGGCTATGGGCCTCCACATCAGCCTTTCTCAGGAGTTCTAGGACTCTCAGGAGAGGACATGACACAGGGAAAGGTGCAGGGACCTGAAGTGACAGGTCACAGTGACGAGCTGGCCCCTCGGGGACTTGAGATTCCCACATTTCCTGAGTTTTCTCACAAGTCCAGGTCCCGGTGAAGCCCTCCTCTGGAGTTGGCTTGCCTTCTAGTACTGGGACAGCCCCGTCACTCCACCATGCTGGTATGCCCGCTCCCCCTGGTACGTGGAGTCTTGCGACAGCGCGACATCAATCTGGGATTTAAACTCATCACCAAGGTAACTGTCCTGAAAGACACAGTCGGGGAGATGAGCAGCCAGTCAGAGAACTGGCTCATATCCTTGCAGCCTTGAGAACCTGCTGTGTGTTCAGCCCCTCCCCAGCCCAAAGATGATTCTGAAAAAGTAGTCCTGAAACCCGAGCAGCAGGAGACCCACACTGTTTACCTCACCATTGAAACAGGTGACCTAGGACTGTTTAAAGGGGCAGTGTTGTGAATAGGATGTTCTAAACACACAGCCCCACTGCTCAGGTCGGTCATGCAGGAGGCCATCCTCCTCCTCGAGTCCTTTGGGAAATGTCGTGTGTGTGCGCGCAAACATGCATGTGTGGAGAGCACCCTGGGCTAGCCTAACTTCTCTCCAAGTGTGATGTGTTTCTGGTTCAGTGCAGCCAGCTCACCTGGGACAGCTCAGGCTGGGAGAGACCAGGCTGGCTCATCTGGGAGGGTTGGCTCATGGAGATGTAGCCCTGTGTCAGGGCCCCCTGAGAGAAGGGCTGTGATGCCACGTCCTGGCTGGCCTGACTGCTGGGCAGGTTTGTCTGGCTGGGCCCAGGAAGGCCAAAGCGGTTCTTCTGGCGCCCACCACGACCCGTCTTGCCTTTTGGAGTGCCTCGGCCTGAAAGACAGTGTTCAGGGTTCCTTGAAGGAGGTCTGAGCCTCACTGACAAGTGATTTTGCTCTGAGGCCTGGTGCTCGCTCACCTGCAGCTGGCCCATTAGCCTGTCCAAAGTACCCTGGAGGTGGCATGGGTGGCATGACCAGGTTGAATGGGATGGGAATGTTCATGGCGGCCACGTGGCTGGGGCCGGCACTGATCATGCCGAGCTGGTCGTGGGTCTGGAAGTACATGTTCGAGGGCCGGCCTGTAAGACAGAGTGGATGGCGGGTTCCCTACTATGTACAGGTGATCCTGCTGCCTGCCTCCAGTCAACTACTCTGCCTGCAGTGGGATGCCTATCCCGTCCTGTCACTGCTCTGCCTGCAGTTCTTGGGGTGTCCCCACAGCAGAACTGCCTGCTGCAGATTCTGTCAATCCCCCTTCTCAACCTGCTGGGGGATGGTGCCTGGGAAACCACCTTTTCTCCCTGGGAATTCTGAGAACATGACTACAGGGACCCGACAAATTGAGAACTACCACACAATATTTCAAATAAAAATGGTACTTTTGTGCCAAATTATATGTTCATGCCACACACACCAAAAAGCAAGAGAAAGCCTAAGCTCCACAGACCAATGGATCCACTGAAGAAAAAGGCCCCAAGGGACTTGAGGGCAGAGACTTCTGGGTCAGCCCCGGGGGACTCAAGTGAGGAAGCACGGACCTTGGACACCCTCAGCTACACAGCAACTTGCTGAATGTGGTGAAGAGAGGTTTGTTGTTGTTAGAGAACACGATCTCCAACCTGAGTCCAATTGTTAGGAGAATACAGGGTCAAAGAAAGGGGGCTGCCAAGAACATCCGAGGAGGAGGAGCTGGGGTACGCCTGCCCTCAGGATGTACAGCAAGCACAGCAGGGAACAAAGTCCACAGTAAAAAACATGGGCAAGTGGCACTAAACTGAGTGCCTGGGCACAGTGGTCACCTTCTGTATGGGCTGGGGTAGGGAAGGGTCCCAGCAGACAGGAACCTGGGGGATTCCAGGAAACTGTCTATAGACTGGCTCAGGCAGGAAGAGGTGTTCTAGGCAGCAGGGGTGAGACTCAGCCTTAGGACAGAGACTCCACATAGGAGGTGAGAACATGCTCCCAACTCTGAGTTCTGATAGAGCAAGAGACTTCAGGAGGGAGGCAAAACCCGAAAAGAGGTTGGAGGCCACTTGAAAGAATTGCATGTGTGAATTCCCACTGGAAAGGGGAGAACAGGACAGGTCGGGTAGGGGCACCGGGGCAAACAGGCAGAACCGTGTTATTTAAAAACATCTTATTGTTAGAAACTGCCAAAGACCAACTCTTTGATCTCAGAGGAGGGAAGCTGAGACGGAACTCACTGTCAGGCAGGGTTCTGTGAACAGATGCAGGGCAGGCATGGGAAGGGTCAATATCCTCAGTGCTGGCTCGGGTCCCCAGAGGACTTACCCTGGCTGCTCCGATCATAGACTGATCCTGGGATGATGGCCTCCCGGGCATCATACATGGCTGTGGTCATGAAGCGGGCTCCCTGCAGAGGGTTTGGGTAGATGAGAAACCCCACTCCTCTTTCAACAACTCGACCTTTGATTCTCAACATCCTATCTCTGGCTTTGGTCCAAGCAGCACTGTACCTTTCAGACCCCCAGAGCACCTGGGTTCAC